ATCCGACAAGTCTTTCCCCATTCCCGACCATGGCCCAGCCCAGTGAACCTAGTGAGGTTCGGGGCCGTTACAGAGGCTCAAATACATCTTTGAATGTTATGGCTATGGAGACCGTAAGAAAGTTGCTCTAGTAGCTGCTCAGCTAACCGACAATGCTATTGTCTAGTGGGATAGGAACATAGCTGAACGTCAACAAAACCGTTTTGTTGCGGTTACTACATGGCGGGACATAAAGTTCCTACTATGGTCGAAGTATGTTCCTGTTGTGGCTCATTGACCGATCAAATGGCCACGGCCTCCTAACTTGTCTACCATATACTTGGAAGCCATGTTAGTACAAGAACCACCATCTATTATGAGATTACATACCTTATTGCGGATGGTACATCTGCTATGGAATATATTTTCGCGTTGAACCTTTTCTTCTGACATAACTAGAGCACTTAGAACTCGCCTAGTTATAAGTAGCTATCTGGTGTCCGGATAATCTACTTCACCTTCTAGTTTCATCGGCTCGTCATCGTCCTTGTCTTGGGATTCATAATCTCCACTAGGAGCCAGGGCACCGTGCTACTAATGGTTTTCAAAGAGTGCTTAAGTACAGGGACGACTGAGTTGACGCTACCAAGCGAGGTACAAGCTGTTCTAGACCAGTTTAGAGACGTGTTCCCCGATGAGATACCTGCCGGCACGTGGTATAGAACACCAAATCGACTTTGTGCTGGGATCAGCTTTACCCAACAAAGTTGTGTATCATATGAACCCTGAAAAGACGAAAGAGCTTGAGAAACAAGTTAAAGAACTGATGGATAAGGGCTACATTCAATAAAGCTTTAGCCCATGCGCCGTGTCGGTCCTACTGATGCCTAAGAAAGATGGTATATGGTGAATGTGCATTGAATGACGTGTCATCAACAATATCACCATCAAGTACCATCACCCCATCCCACGCTTGGAAGACATGCTAGACGAATTGAGTGGTGCAAAAATGTTTTCAAAGGTGGACTTGTGAAATGGATACCATCAAATGCGAATGAGAGAAGAGGACAAGTGGAACACCGCTTTCAAGACTAAGCAGGGGCTATACGAATGGCTAGTCATGCCATTCGGCCTGACCAATGCCCCTAGCACATTCATGCGCCTCATGAACCAGTATCTAAGATCATGCATTGGTAGATTCGTCGTGGTATACTTTGATGACATACTGATATATAACAGGAGCTTATCGGATCACATTATGCATTTAGAGATTGTTTTGAAAACACTTCGAAAGGAGGGTCTATACACCAACCTTAAGAAGTGCTCCTTTTGTACTGATAAACTTGTATTCTTAGGATTTATAGTAAGCAAACACGACTTACAAGTAGATGAGGAGAAGATAAAAAGCCATTCAAGAATGGCCTACGCCGACAACAATCAGCCATGTCCGTAGTTTCCATGGATTAGCTTCCTTCTATCGCCGAACAGTCAAATATTTCAGCATGGTAGCTGCCCCACTTACCACTGTCATCAAAAAGAATGTACCGTTCTCATGGGGAGAGCCATAAGAAGCCGCATTCAACAAACTCAAGGATTGTTTGACTCGAGCCCCAGTGTTAGCATTACCCGATTTTGAAGTCATGTTTGAAGTAGAGTATGATGCATCTGGAGTTAGCATAGGAGTTGTGCTACATCAGAAAGGGAGGCCCATAGCCTTCTTCAGTGAGAAGTTAAGCGGTGCCACGCTCAACTATCCCACCTACAATAAGGAGTTATATGCTCTGGTCCGAGCATTAGAGACATGGCAACACTACTTGCTCTCCAAAGAGTTTGTCACTGACACTGACCATGAAACGTTTAAGCATCTAAGAGGACATACATCACTCAGAGAAGACACACCAAGTGATTGGAGTTTGTAGAGACATTCCCCTATGTCATTAAGTACAAAAAGGGCAAAGAGAATATAGTAGTTGATGCTTTGTCAAGGAGGCATGCACTGATATCAACAATGGAGGCAAAGGTTCTTGGATTTGAGAATATCAAAGGACTATATGGAGATGACCCTGACTTCAGTGAGAGCTACAAGGAGTGTGTCAAGAGACCATACAGAGCATTCTACATTTATGATGGTTTCTTATTCTGTGACAAGCGATTGTGTATTCTCCAAGGATCAATGAGAGACTTGCTGCTAAGGGAAGCACATAGCGGTGGACTAATGGGACATTTTGGCGTGGATAAGACACTAGTTGTGATGATGGATCACTTCTTCTGGCCACACTTAAAGAAAGACGTAGAGAAAATGTGTTCTCGGTGCATTACATGTCGAAAGTCTAAGTCCAGGTCCCATCCTTATGGTCTCTATACTCCTTTACATATACCTAACACCCCTTGGGTAAACATTTCTATGGATTTTGTCCTAGGTTTGCGGAAGATTAGGCATAAGGAATCGATCTTTGTAGTGATAGACCGGTTCTCCAAGATGGCCCACTTCATACCATGCGCCAAAATGAACGATGCTACTCAAACCGCTGATCTTTTCTTCAAGGAAGTAGTATGTTTGCCTGGAGTTCCTAGGACCATCGTATCAGATTGGGATACGAAGTTCCTCAGCCACTTCTGGAAGACACTATGGAGTAAAATGGGTACTAAGCTACTGTTTTTGACCACTTTCCATTCCCAAACCGATGGTCGGAACGAAGCGGTAAACCGTACTCTATCCACCTTACTTAGAGTTACTCTTGGCAAGAATATGAAAACTTGGTTAGATTGTATTTCCTTTATTGAGTTTGCTTATAACCATGTTACTCACTCTACTTCTAAGTTGTCACCTTTTGAAGTTGTATATGAGAATAACCCTTTGATGTCAATGGACCTTACACCGCTACCCACAAGCCAAAAAATTCAGTCTAGAAGGTCTTAGTCGAGGCGAATACGCCAAGAAGATACACCAATGAGCCTGAGAGAATATAGCTCAGAAAACCGAGGAGTACAAGCAGAATAAAGATAAAGATGCAAAGAAATGGTGTTTGAACCCAGAGATTGGGTTCGGCTTCACATGACACCCGAGTGGTTCCAGTACAAACAAAGCTCCAAACTTTCACCGAGAGGCGACGGTCCATTCAGTCTTGAAGAAGCTCAATGACAATGCCAATAAACTGCAGTTACCAGGTGAGTTTAATATGTCTCACAGTTTTAATGTTACTGATTTATCCCCTTTTGATGTAGGTGAAACGATTTTGGGACAAAACCATGTCAAAAGGGAGAGAATGATGTAAGCACCGAACCCGCTCAAGGCCAAGATGATGTACCAACCGTGAGAGAAGGTACCATGACACGATCTAAGGAGAAAGCCTTGAGAAACAAATTCAACTTAGCCGTGGAAAGAATAATGCATACATACTAGCCGATCACTATGACCACCTCCGAAAGCTTATACATGTCCGAGAAGGACCAAATGGATGAGAAACCATCAACCAACCCCATTAACACTTGCTGCCTAGAAAACCAATGTATGGTATCTCATTTGGCAGGTACTAAGGTACAACTGGATGAAGAACATGAGGGGAACGAGCCGGACATTTCAAGATATCATGGAACCAGGCATGAAGACCGTAAGTGAGCAAGAAGAGCCTAGAAAGGACGGATGGAATCCACTTGAAAACTCCAAGAGCAGCATGACAAAACCACTTCATGCCAGCTTCTCGAATGAACTCTACACCAAAGTTGCTCCAAGAAACACTAAATCAATGCCCATGATCCCCTACTACAAGAGACACAAGTACTTTCAATTTCAATAATGCATGCAGGTACAAATAACGTTTCAAACGTTCAAGAGTAGGCATGTACCGTCACCAAAAGCCAAGAAAGCAACACCAAAACGTTGGATGAATGTTTTCTTTTCTTTAGTTAGTTTCTTTTCTTTTATAGTTTAAGTTATAGTTTACATTTTAATTTTTGTATTAGGTACAACTAGTTTTATTTTTTCTTTTTGTATTTTGTTTTTTGCTTTTATTTGTCCCGTTTGGGAGATCCAAGAAGGTCATGCCCCTAAATTACTTATAAAGTTTTTTTACGATTTTGTAGGCCACAACTTTTTACCCCATATAAATAAAATTGGCAGTTCTTCTCATGTTAAGTTTTGAACCCTCTTTTGCTTGATCCTTTGCGTGTGTGATTCACCAAATTTTCGAGTGTTCGTTCTATTAAAGAACCTTCCATCGTCTCTTTGGTGCCAACGTTTCCTCTGTGCTTTCATCTCAAGATCTAACGTGAGAGAGTCTAAGACCAGCATATTTGATTCCATACACCTAAGATCCGGCCAGTCCGAGTCTTATACCATCTACGGTTCCGGACAATAGGTTCGACCAACGACCTAACTGCTACTCATTACCCAGAAGACGAATTCATGAAATAAAGTTTATACGCCCCAAAGTATAAATACCCTATTTACATCTCATAAAATACTCTCAAACAAATGTACTGATAAACTGAATAATATTTTTTTTTAAAGGAACTAAAAACAAACCTAAATCAAAAAGCTATTTCTATTATTTTCTTTCATCTATATGAAATTTTTATCTAAAATAAGTAACTAACAAAATGAAAATTCATATTAATTATCAAGATCCCTATTAATTTTCACATATGTCAAAATCTCATGTTATACATGTGTAGTTTTATATATTAAGATATAGTGGAGACTCTATAAATTAATATTTGATTAATTAATAAATTCGATAAATTAATAAATTTGCGTGGTTTCAAAATTTATAATCAATAGTTATTAAAATTTATAAATTAATAACTAGATTAGCTTATCTGATCTTATTAACAATATTAATTTATAAATTTTCTACCGATATATGAAATATTTTAGTAATTTCAAAAAAATGTGAGCTGTATCAATTAGTTATGTTGAAGGTGAAATTGAGATATTCTAAAATGAGATTAAGGAGTTTGGCCTCTTCAAATTCTTACATATTCTTTTGAATGTGTAATTCAACCAACAAAACTAGATTTATTGGGAGTCTATTAATTTTCCTTGGAATTTACTCTCCGTTTAGTATTTGTTTTCTAGGTTGGCTTGACAAAAACAACAAGCTAGATACTTTAGAAGTGTTTTCTAATGCAAACAAAAACCTTAGGATGGGAGCCAAGTCATTAGAAACTTAGCAGCAACCTACTGTTCTCAATTTTCCCTACAAATAAGGCACTTATATATCTCAATCTTCTTCAAACCACACAACTTAGGATTTAAATCATCATCTGCCTCATACATCAAACACAATGGCCTCCATGGACGCAACTAACCGCCCCACACCAACTCCAGAACATGACACGACTGTTGTTGTAGTGGTCTTTGTGTCTCTAGGTTGCGTCATGTTCCTGGCGTTTCTTGCGCTTGTCATTTGTTTCCTGATCAAGAAGAAATCCAAGAAGAGCAGTGAGAAAAGTGTGGCGGTTCGTGTCGATGAGCACTTTAAGATGAATGAAGCTATAGTTGAGGGACGACATGGACCAAAGGCTGTGGTTTTATCAGTTGAGGATGATATTCATATTGAAGACTTGGTCAAGAAAGGTGAGAAGGAAGTGGGGAAGGACGGTCCAGATGGATCATCTCACTTTACCCGACCGTAATGAGCATTCAATCAGAATATTTCCAGTATATATTCTAATTGTGTTTGTGTGTTTCATTTGTTTGGTGAAATAAAAAGCATCCTCTCTGGACGATATGATGATCCGACTTTGTGGGTAACTTAAAGAAACGAAAAACTTGCTTCTCCGAGGAAATTAATTAAAAATTCATGATATAATTTTCTCCATCGCCAAAAAACGAATCAACCTCTAAAAAAAACTGATATTTATTTGAATTGACAAAACATCTTTAGATAATCTTGTTCATATCAAATCGTTAAAATAAATTCCGTAAAATTAAGTCAACTAAATTTTATTAAATTTCAACGGACAAAATATTTACCATGACTCACACTCATCTATTGATCGTGTGACTCGTGTCGTGTGTAGTCGATTTGGCTTAAAGCACTCCAACACAGTTTCTGGGTACAATAATAATATGGATTACTGCAAAAAAAAAACTCAGACTAAATTATTTTTGCAAGATAAACTCTCACCTAAAAAAAATGCAAATCAATCTTATAATTTCGTGGATCTACCATGGTCGCAAATAAGCTTCACGGGGCGGTGATTTTGCTCAGGGAATAAGCTGATTAGGATTGGTTCATCAATCTCAGCTCCTCAGATTATCCTCTAATGACTCAAGATGGTGAAATTCACAAAAATTGAAACTTTGTTATGATTTTTCACGCAAGGTGTTGGATATGATTCAACAGGAAGATCTTTGAAAGTTATGAAGAAGAAGACGTTGGAGAGAAGTCTTCAAGCAAGAAAAAGTCAACATTGCAGCTTATTCTAGGGTATTGAAAGCTTTTGTTGGAAACAGAGGTTCCTAGCCGAGTTAATACAAAGAATCACGTGTCTTTCACGTGCGTTCTCATCTTCTTCAAAAGAGATTAAATCTTCTGGTTTTCAGAGCTTCTTGATTATCTTCTTCTGTGAGCTCCGGAGAGGAACGAGAGAGATAGAGAGAGAGATTTAGGGAGATTAACGAGAGATTTGTAATCTTGTGTTTGATGAGAGATTAATGAGAGATTTGTAATCTTGGATTAAAAGAAAAATAAAAAAGGATAGCTAAAATTAACTTTGCGATTTAAAGAGAGCAGATAATATTGGGAGCGATTTCGAGAAAGTGTTCAGTGTTACGATTGTTCAATACTTCTGTTAACCCAGTTGGTAGATCTGCCTTATGTGGTAACTGAGAGCTCGTCAGTTCGAAATTTTAGTATCAATATATTGAAATTGTTTTTTTGATAAAAACGGTGATTCCGTCAAAATAATTAACTGAAACGTTAGGGTCGACGTCGACATTATACGAAAGTCTTATATTGCAGGTGACTTTTGAGTTTATAGGATTGATTTGCATTTTTTTTAGATAAAGGTTTATCTTACAAAAATAATTTAGTCTGAGGGTTTTTTTATAGTAATCCCGTATAATGTTTAGGATTTTTGAAGGTAATTTTTAGAACTTTTTATGTTGATAGCCAATAAATTAATTTGAAGGTATTTTTAGAGTTTTTTACGTTGATAGCTAATAAATTAATTTTGAAGGTAATTTTTAGGGTTTTTGACGTTGATAACCAATAAAAATTAAGGTATTTTTTCTAAAAAATATTGATTTTAATTTAAAAAATTGATATCTTAACTATCGGTATTGTTTTAAATAAAGAGAAAATTATAGTATCACTTTTTTTTTCAAATCATAATTACATTGATGGTAATTTTGCAGATCTCTCCAGGATAAAATAATATTATTAAAATAAATTTTTTTTTTTAATTTTTAAGTTTTTATGTAAACAATATAAATTTAACTAGTGTTGAAGTTGGATTTAGCACTCTAAATCCAGTCCACTCAAGTCCAATAGGCAGATCCAAATTGAGCCAAATTGACTGGGCTTTGACCCTACGATCCAGGCCCGTTCACTCTCAACGATCCAATCCTGAACAACAAAACGTTTCGTTCGACGAGGTCGAGCTCCAGCTCGACTAAATCCCGAGAAACAAGGAACGATCCAAGCCAAGTCAGAGCATATTCTTGCCAGCTCAAACGAGTCCGAATTTCACGGAGGAAGCTGCTGCACGAGGCGAGATTTCCGGCTGAAGCTGCTGCATGTGGCCGAGATACGCGCTGGAGGTTGAAGCTCGACAAGGCGAGCTATATAAAGAAGACAAACGGCTTAGTTTAGGGGACCTTCAGCTTGATCTTCTTCTACACTTTTTTACACACGAAAACTCTGTAACTGCTCTCAGAGCTGTTTTGAGTTCATCTTTTCCATCGAAATTTTTGTAACCGTTTCATTCAACCGATTAATATCAAGTCCTTATTTTAGTTAGTGCTAGCTTATACAGTCACTCTGTTCGAGAGAATCTAGCCCTTAATTCTCCTAAGTTTCTTCCCTTACAAAAACACATAAATTTCTGAGTGTGGATTTCTGTATCCACACCTAGTTTATTTTGTTTGCAACAACCAATTCCTACCAAGTTTAAAATTCAGACTATTTTCAAACTATAGTAATCTATTATATAAAAACTGGGTTGTGTCACACAATGGGGTGACACGTCAGCACCCCTCTCCATGACACTTCAGCTTTGAAATTTTCATATAAAAACTGGATTGTGTCTCACAAGGGGGTGACACGTCAGCACCCCTCTCCATGACACCTCAGCTTTGAAATTTTGTTTATTTAATTTTTTCACTCCTTCCAACTCTTTTACCGTTTTACGCCCAAAAATAAAATATAGACATTGACCGATCATAAACAGTTCTTAACAATCTCTTTCTCTCTCTCTCTCTCTCTCTCTCTCTCTCTCTCTCTCTCATCTTTCTTCATCTCTGTTTGTATCATTTTGTTCTTCCGCCAAGATATCGTTCAGATTAGAAAAGGTAAGAAATCAAATTTAGAGTTGACAATTTCTATGATTCTACCAAATATTTCTTCCTTATCATTTTGAATCTCTTTTTTTGTTTTCTTTTTGTTTGGTATGGAATGTTTTGTTTTTCCGCTGGGTTTACGAGACATAATTCAAATTAAGAAAAAAGGTAAGAAATCGAATCTAGATTTGTCAATATCTATCAAACATTTCTTCTTCGCAACTCTGTGATTTTGGTTATTTTCCCTTCATGTGAGGATTGATCTGGAGGTTTCGGATTCCTCATTTTGCTGACTTCAAGGCTGAAGCGGATGGTGGTAAGCGACAAGTGCTTGGAGTTCTTCCTCAGTTGCAGGTATTCTGGGCTTCTGTTTACACTCCTTATTCTCTCTCAGATGAAAATAATTCAGACTTGGAGATAACCTTCTGTGTTACCTTTGCTTTATGAACTAATCTGCTCCATATCACGGTCCTGAATATTCTATGATTGGTTTTTGGGTCTCTTTATTGACTTTCTGACAATCTTATTCTTCTATTAAACACAAAAGAATCTATGAGGCACTCCATGGAGATTTACTGGACACGGACAGCTTATCAAAACTAAATCCTTACATGGTAAAGCTATGTGGTTCTGAACAATATAATTCTTTCTTCCCTGTCATTGACTGAAGCCGTTTGTATTTTGAACAACAGCCCAACTTAAGCGCATCATTGATTAAGGATTTTATATGTGCAAATGATCAACTTAAATGAATAGCTAAGCATAAAGGTTTTCCAATTGATTTGCAAGATTTTAGATCTAATTATGTATCAATGTTTTGATGAATATTCTCTGCTAAAACGTTTGATTGGTTTTTCTCTTTGTTCTTTTTAGTTTTACTCTTAGTTCATTCCATCATCGCTTGGGCCATTGGTACTACAACGACGGAGGCAAAGTGACATGGTAAGATCTATTTTGCAAGTATTGCGTTTCATGATTTGATTAGAATAATTGAAATTTGTTTTGTTGGTGAATAAAAAATAAACACACCTCCTTTATATAAGTAGATCCGAAAATATAAAATGTCCATCGAGTTTCCCTACTTAACTATTTAGTCAACTTACATTGATATTACTCATAGTAATCACAAAGATTTGTTCTGGTTCATTGTATTTATCTGTCTTAATAAATTTTTACTATTGGATACATTTTATATTCATAAATTTGTTCATTCTCTTCTCAAAATTATCACACACTTATTAAATATGTTTTTCTATGCTAATAATAATATCCTCTTTTTACGAAAATTCATCATAATTCTCAACCACGACCTATTATAAATAACCACTTTTCAAATGGTTAGCCTCACTTCGTCTTGCCTTTCTTCACTGATTATACACATACGTATTTTACACTTGCAACTCCGCTTGTGATTTGTTGCAATAATATAATCATTCTTTCATTTTCTCACATATTTGTCAAAATCACTATGGACAAAAACCATCTGGCCTCTTTGTTGTCGACATCCATTCCGTTAGGCAAACTGGAACAAGGAAAATCCAGCCAAAATATAACCGTCCGTCTTTCTCGCTCTTGGGAAGTGCGTAATTTCAAACTCGATAGAGCACTAATGAGTTTTGTGTTGGAAAGAAAGAACTTATAAGAGTGATGGAGAAGATGTTTTAAGAATTTGGAAGATAAAAGAACAATTTTAAGAAAAAGAAAGTTTTTAGAACTTAGAGGACTTAGGAACTTATTAACTTTTCTTACTATTATCTCTTAACTTTTTGGTTACAAATAGGAGAGGAGAATGCTATTTATAGCCTCCAAAGTACAAAATATCTAAAATATTTTATTTCTAAATCTAGAAAATTCTACTTTAATATCTAGATTATTTTACAATAATTATCTAGAGAAATTTCTGGAGGCGATCTCTTCTCTGGATATTATCTTTTTTTAGCTTCCGCGCATTGAGCAGCTTGAAGTTGTAGAGAATAAATATCTAGAGATTTCTCTAGATAATTGTTGTAAAATAATTTCGATATTAAAATAAAATTCTCTAGATTTAGGAATAAAATATTTTAGATATTTTGTACTTTGGAAGCTATAAATAGCATTCTCCTCTCTTATTTGTAACCAAGAAGTTAAGAGATAATAATAAGGAAAGAAGATTTCAAGCTGCTCCTGCGCGGAAGCTAGAAAAAGAAGATTTGGAGAACGATCGGATCACGTATCTCTCCGCCATCGTCGATGTGGAATCTGGAGGCGATCTCTTCTCTGAGTTTGTGAAGAAAGGTCTGCTCCAACCAAATCCTCCCATATCTAAGAAGACTAAACAAGAAGAAGGAGAAGAAGGTGATGTTACCGACGTTGTTGATGAGCTTGAAGATGAAGAAACCATTTTTCTGTTGGAAAGGAAGAACTTTTAAGAGTGATGGAGAAGGTGTTTAAGAATTTGAAAGACAAAGGAATAAATTTAAGAAGAAGAAAGTTGTAGAACTTAGAGAGCTTATGAACTTCACTTAACTTCTCTTATTATTTCTTTTAGCTTGTTAGTTACAAAATGAGAGAGAAGGTAGCTATTTATAGCCTCCAAAGTACAAAATATCTAAAATATTTTATTCCTAAATCTAGAGAATTATATCTTAATATCTAGATTATTTTACAACAATTATCTAGAGAAATCTCTAGATATTTATTCTCTACAACTCTCTAGAACATTTTAAGGAGGTGGAAGTGTTGATTTTTCTAGAGAAAACTCTAGAATCTTTGATTAAGCATAATTGGGTTTTGGCCCAATTATTATTGGATCATTAACCCAATATTTAAGCATGATCCAAAATCAAGTTTATCTTTCAACACCCCCTCTTAAACTTGATTTTGCTACTCCAAGCAAACTTCTCATCTTGATAAAGGCTTCACGCTTGAGTGACTTGGTAAAGATGTCAGCTACTTGATCATCCGTCTTCACGTACTCCAACTGCACATCCATCTTGGTAACACATTCTCTAATGTAATGATAGCGAGTGTCGATGTGCTTACTTCGATCATGGAAGACAGGATTCTTTGCCAAAGTTATTGCTGACTTGTTGTCCACAAAGATCTTCGTCGGCTCTTCTTGTGGCAAACTCAACTCCTTTAATAAGTTTCGTAACCAAATAGCATGGCAAACACATGAAGTAGCCGCTACATACTCCGCTTCACAAGTGGAAAGAGTGACAATCGGTTGCTTCTTCGACATCCATGTGAAAGCTGTTTCTCCAATGAAAAACACAAAACCACTTGTGCTTTTCCGATCATCTACGTCTCCACCCCAGTCGCTATCGCTATATCCAACAAGCTTGTAATCATCAGAAATAGAGTAATACAAACCAAAGTCGATCGTACCTTTGATATAGCGAAGGATCCTCTTAGCTGCCTTGAAGTGAGTGGTTGTTGGATGCTCCATATATCGGCTCATAACTCCAACTGCATGTAAGATATCAGGCCTTGTGCATGTTAAGTAACGTAGACTCCCAACCAAACTCTTAAAGAGTGTTGGATCCACACTCTCTCCTTCATCATGCTTTGATAACTTAGCTCCACATTCCATTGGAGTACAAACTGGGTTCGAGTCATCCATCTTGAACTTCTTCAGCACTTCTTTAGCATAACCTTCTTGAGAGATGAAGATTCCATTGTCTTCTTGTTTCACTTCAATTCCAAGGTAGTAAGACATCAATCCAATATCGGTCATCTCGAACTCCTTCGTCATCTCCTTCTTGAATTCCTCGAACATACTTGGATTGCTGCCTGTGAATATCAAGTCATCTACATATAAGCATGCAATCAATATATCATTGTTCTGTGTTTTGATATATAGTGCATGCTCATATGGACACTTGATGAAGCTTTTCTCCTTGAAATACTTATCAATACGAGTGTTCCAAGCTCTTGGTGCTTGTTTCAACCCATAGAGCGCCTTCTTTAACCTCAAGACTTTGTCTTCTTCTCCTTTAACTATGTAGCCTTGTGGTTGCTCAATGTAGACTTCTTCCTCAAGATCTCCATTTAGGAAGGCTGATTTGACATCCATTTGATGTATCCTCCACCTCTTTTGGGCTGCTAATGAAATGATTAGTCTAACTGTTTCTAATCGAGCAACAGGAGCAAATACCTCGTCATAGTCAATTCCAGCTCTTTGACTATAGCCCTTTGCCACCAATCTTGCCTCGTATCTTTCAACTTCTCCTTTGGAGTTCTTCTTCGCTTTGTACACCCATTTTACACCAATCGCCTTATGCCCATTTGGAAGTGAAGCTAACTCCCATGTCTCATTCTTCTGTATTGACTTGATCTCTTCATCCATTGCGTTTCTCCATGTCTTCTTCTCCATTGCTTCTTGGAAGTTCATGGGTTCACAATCCGCAAACAGGCAAAATAGGGTAAGGTTTTCTTGATTTTTGGTTACCTCGTAAAGCTCTTGCAGACTTCTAAAACGTGGAGTCCTTTCACTCGAACTCTCATCTCCTTGAGAACTTGGTGTTGGTGAGGTTGGTGGGGTAATTGGCTCCTCTCTTGGCTGCTCCAAATCATCTTCTTCAATATGTGGAAAGAAGTTGTAGTTCTCATCATTTGATCTCCAATCCCATTCTCCTTCTTCATCAAAGATGACATTCCGACTGATGATTGTCTTCTTTGTATCAGGATTGTAGAGCTTGTAGCCTTTGGAGTTTGCATCGTACCCAATGAAGATGTACTTCTCACTTTTATCATCTAGCTTGCTTCGTTTCTCATCAGGTACATGAGCGTGGGCAAGGCTTCCAAAGACTCTTAGATGTGAAACACCGGGCTTTCTTCCACTCCAAGCTTCTTGTGGTGTTTTCTCCCAAACACTTCTTGTTGGGGATCTGTTTGACAGATAGACCGCACATGCAACTGCTTCTGCCCAAAACTCCTTTGGTAGCTTCTTACTTTTGTGCATGCTTCTCGCCATCTCAAGAATTGTTCTGTTCTTCCTTTCTGCTACTCCATTCTGTTGAGGGGATCTTGGCACCGTCAATTGTCTCCTAATGCTATTGTCTTCACAATACTTCAGAAACTCTTTGGACATGAACTCTCCTCCTCGATCAGATCTCATAGCTTTGATCACAAGGCCACTTTCCTTCTCAACATGGGCTTTAAACTTTTTGAAGTTCTCAAATACTTCTGATTTTTCTTTCAAAAAGTAAACCCATGTTTTTCTTGAAAAGTCATCAATAAAGAGAAGGAAGTAGTTACTCTTACCGAGTGATCTTGATTTAATTGGGCCACAAACATCTGTATGTATGAGCTCCAATGGCTTCCGTGCTCTTGTCTCTGACTCCTTTGGAAAGCTCATTTTGAATTGCTTTCCAAGTAGGCACCCATCACACACCTGATTTGGATGATTGATGCAGGGCAATCCTCTCACCATTTCTTTCTTAGAGAGTAGCTCCAAGCCTCCAAAGTTGAGATGTCCATAACGAAGATGCCAAAGCCAAGACTCCTCCTTGTAGCACATCTTAAGACATTTTGCGATGTCATTTTGAATGTTAAGAACAAACATTCTATTCTTTGACATCGGCACCTTGGTGATGAGATTGTTAGTTTGATCTCTTATAGAAAGGCTATTATCCTTTAGTCGAATATCATAACCTTTCTCTAAAAGTTGTCCAAGGCTCAAGATGTTGGTCTTCATACTTGGAATATAGTAAACGTTGGAGATGAATTGATGATCTCCATTCTTCATTCGGATGAGAATTTTTCCTTTACCTTTCACCTCCATCTTTGATTCATCTCCTAAGGCCACGTCTCCTTTCACTGATTCATCGAGCTCCACGAACATGCTTCTTTTCCCGCACATGTGATTGCTTGCACCGCTGTCAAGGCACCACTTGTGGAACTCATCTCTTTCATCCTTCTTGTATGCCATTAATAGCATATCTTCTTCTTGGCTTCTTTCTTCAGCATAGTTGAACTTCTCTTCAACTCTATTGTTGTTTGGAGCTTTGTATTCAGAAGCATAATGTCCAAACTTCCCACAATTATAGCATTTGACGTTTGATTTGTCGTACCTTGGTTTTGGAGATCCTCTCCCACGTCCTCTTGATGAGCTTTCTCCTCTTTGGTTAGTCTTGTCTTCATAGGACCTCCAGCCACGTCCATTTCCATAACCACAACCTCTTCCTCGTCCTTGACCGCCACCTCTTCTTGGATGACTTCGGCCGCTTCCATCTTTGGTTTGATCAATTTGCATCTTGAGTACTTGTTCTGCAAGGTCTTCCTTCTTCTTCTTCTTTTCTTCATAGGCTTGTAGTGATCCTAGTAGTTGCTCTATTGTCATATCCTCCAAATCTTTCGTCTCTTCAATGACAATGACAATATGCTCAAATTTTGAATCCAACGATCTAAGAACCTTCTCCATGATTCTTACTTCATCTAGCTTCTCCCCATTCCTCTTTAGGTTATTAGTAACCGCTAGAACTCTTGAGAAGTAATCTTGGACAAGTTCACCTTCCTTCATTTGTAATGCTTCAAATTCTCCTCTTAGAGTTTGAAGACGTACCTTCTTGACTTGCTCTGCTCCCTTGTAAGAAGTTCGAAGCTTCTCCCATGCTTCTTTGGCCATCTTTGCTCCGGCAACCTTCTCGAATGTGTCTTCATCTAATCCTTGATAGATGAGACAGAGAGCCTTCTTGTCTCTCTTCCTTGAGTCTCTCAAACTGTCCTTTTGAGTTTGAGAAAGACTACCTTCATTCTCCGGTTCAATGTAGCCTTTTTGGACAATCTCCCACACGTCATGTGCTCCTAGAATGGCCACCATTCTTAGACTCCAGTTGTCGTAGTTGCTCTTAGTGAGCATTGGAACTTGGAAGGGAACACCATTACTTGCCATCTTTAAGAGAATCTTCTAGCTCTGATACCACTTTGTTGGAAAGGAAGAACTTTTAAGAGTGATGGAGAAGGTGTTTAAGAATTTGAAAGACAAAGGAATAAATTTAAGAAGAAGAAAGTTGTAGAACTTAGAGAGCTTATGAACTTCACTTAACTTCTCTTATTATTTCTTTTAGCTTGTTAGTTACAAAATGAGAGAGAAGGTAGCTATTTATAGCCTCCAAAGTACAAAATATCTAAAATATTTTATTTCTAAATCTAGAGAATTATATCTTAATATTTAGATTATTTTACAACAATTATCTAGAGAAATCTCTAGATATTTATTCTCTACAACTCTCTAGAACATTTTAAGGAGGTGGAAGTGTTGATTTTTCTAGAGAAAACTCTAGAATCTTTGATTAAGCATAATTGGATTTTGGCCCAATTATTATTGAATCATTAACCCAATATTTAAGCATGATCCAAAATCAAGTTTATCTTTCAACATTTTCATGTAGATAAATCTTCCTAAGGTATGTTTATATTTGGGTTTGTCTCATCTCTTCTGATTCAATTCCGATTTAGGTTTCTCTTCTCTTATATTTCTATTTTTTTTTCCTAATTAGCATAGAAAAGGCTCCAATCCTACACCCGTTGACGCTTCTCTCGTGCAGAGATTCATGTTTCAGCTTTGAAAGGCGTGGCGAGATGATTTGGAGGCAAGCTCTTTTCTCTGGTGATTCAGAGTTTCAGCAATTGCTTCACATTTTCAGGTAATTGCTTCTTCTTTCGATCCAGCTTCCACCATTCTGAATATCAGTTTATTGATAGTTTTGATGTCAGTGTATCAAGCTAATTGATGGAACCTGTTAAGCCCCTCCCGTTGGAAGAGACTCCATTGAAGCTTGTTCAAGAAGTGGAAGATCTGAAAGACCTGGCCGCTAAATTAAGTACTGTTGAAGAGTTTGAGGTAAATTTTTGTTTGACTATGATGTCTGTTGGTAGAAGCAGTAAATAATTTGATAATTCTGTCATTATGTCAAGAATCTCTTGTACATGATATTAAACTACCAATGTGATAGATATTTCAGCATTTTGGTGTGGAAAACATAAAGTTTCGCTACTTCAAATTCTCTCTTTGATTAGATAGGCCCACAACAGCTTAAATTGTACCTCTACACTCTCTTAGAGTTGTTTTGTTTGGCTATGTTTAGGTTGATCTGGAGCATAATTCGTACCGGTCTTTTCAAGGATTGACATGCTTGATGCAAATTTAAACCAGAACAGAGGATTACATAGTTGATACATTCAAGCTCCGTGTTCACGTTGGTCCTTACCTAAGGGAGCTTTTCAAAAACCCTAAAAAGAGAAAGGTTTTTCCTGGGATACATTAATTCCTGAATAAAAGGGCTAAAAGATTTGCTCGTACTGATTGTTAATTTAATCACGTAATGCATGGAGCAGATCGAGATATTGTTTGGCTTCAAAGGGACTTTGGCATGGTCTACCTCAAGACCTTTTGTTTCCTCATTGGTTTTCCTTTTGTTTAGGTTGCAGCTCAAATCGCTGGGCTTCTCATACGACTGGGACCGTGAACTCTCTACAACAGAGCCAAACTATTATATATGGACACAATGGATCTTTCTTCAGCTTTATAAGAGAGGTTTGGCATATCAGGTCAAGAAAATCATTGTCTAGCTCATAAGTTAAAACCTTTTCATTTGCATTTAGAAAAGCTCTTTGACAGATCTGTAGATCCAGGCTGAAGTACCCGTGAATTGGTGCCCGGCTCTTGGTACTGTTTTGGCTAATGAGGAAGTTGTGGATGGTGTTAGTGAGCGTGGAGGCCACCCGGTTATAAGAGAGGTAATAACTTTCACCATAAGGGAATCATTATATCTGTTTTTCGTCTTCCAAACATTCGAAATTCGTCTGTTTTGAAAGCTCATGAATTCTACAATGACATTGTTTGTTACCAAGTAGTCGATGAGGCAATTGATGCTGAAGATTACTGCGTACGCTCATCGTCTTCTAGAGGATTTAGACGAGCTTAAGTGACCTGAGAGTATAAAAGAAATGCAGAGAAACTGGATTGGAAGATCAGAAGGAGCTGAGCTGGGTTTTTTGATTCTTGATAGCGAAGAAGGTCGAGAAACTGACAAAAATATTACATATTTCACCACCAGACCAGAAACCCTTTTTGGAGCGACGTATGTTCAACAGACTACAATCATATTTTATGATTCAAAATTCAAGATTCTTGATCTTGATTGTCTTATATGTTCTGCAGTTACATGGTTGTGGCACCAGAGCATCATTTGTTGTCTTACTTTGTAACTGAAGAACAGAAACAACACATAAAACTTCATTTATACATTTATTAATAAAAATCAAATTATCTATCATATATGTTTTACATATAAAATTCAATCTTAAATAGAGTTTTGTTTAATGTTAAAACTCAACACATTTAAACTCTATATGTGGTTTCATTGCTTGTTGATCTACTTTACTAATAGATTCAGTTATACTGATTTCATTTTGAAAATTAGATAAATATATAAAGTAAAACATTTAAACTCATCAAACATCTATTAAGAAAAAATACCGTATGTAAACGTTTAAATTTCAATACAAATTGATACTTAAAAAAATGTTCATTGTATTGTACGTGGTTATGAAATGTGTATTGAGAATATTAAACATTCTATTCTTCAAATTTCCAAAATAAAAAAGGAAATAACATATAATTTTCAAGTAATGAATAAATAAATATATATTATCGGGTGATGTAGGTTGAAACAAATAAGAATAAACCGCAAAGTTAAAAAAAAAAAGACAGATCAAAATAGATCAATGTTTTCTTAATTTAATTTTTTAAAAATTGTGATACAAAATAATTAAGAAAAATTGTAAAATAAAAATATCATTATATAATGAAAATGGCAAATACTTTTTATTAGAAGAAATTTAATTAGCAATTTCTATCGATTTATGACATATAAAATCAAATCTAAATACACATGTTAATCCATCAAAATGTATTTGTTTAGAAAATATACACATACAAAAAATTTAAAACAAATTGTAACAGAAAAAACCCATATATATGCTATATGATATTTATGAAGAGTAAATAGCTCAATAACCCTTAAATATTTAATTCTTCGTACTAAAAAAATCAACAAAGAAATAGAGGAGAAGAATAAGATAATAACTAAATATAATTCTTACATACATATTCATATACAAGAATTCACAATAAGATATAATTTTGGTTAACATAATGTTTTAGAATATACGTAAGTCAATTTCGATAAACACAACTTTTCAAAATATTTGTAAGACATCATATAGTAGACGAGTGTAATAAATTATTATCAACTTCCATTTAACATATACAAGTTTTTCATCAACTTTTTCAAGTCTCATTATTAATAAATATAAAATTAAAAATAAAATTTGTTAAAAGATATATACATGATAATATAGAGTGATCATAAAAATTTAATTCAGTTTAAAGCAATTTTGGAGTGTTTAAAGAGATGAAAAAGCTTTCTTCTTTATTATAAGTTTAAGAAAAAAAATTCAAGAAAATATTAAGTATGAGAAATTTAAAAATAAAAATAAAAATGAAAAAACATTTAAAATAAATGAAAAAAATATAGATTAATTTAAACCATATTTATGTATTACCATAGTTGACAATTACAAAAAAATTATTATTATATTTAAAATAAAAATTATATTAATTTTATATCTAAAAGTATATCATAAAATGCAAACCCGCGTGTATACGTGGGTCATCACCTAGTATCAATGAATAGTGATGTTGAATTGCACTGTCTCAGTCGGCGAACAAATAAGCGATGTACTCAGTCGACCTCTTTAAAATTTCAATGTGATTTACAGAGGTCGCTTATTAAATTTTTCGTTCATCGCTTATTAAAATTTGTTCATCGAAGATGGCAGTGTCTCAGTCGACCTCTTTCCCGACTTTCCAGACCCCATCTCACGAATACCAATTCATCGTAACATCTCAAAATCCGAAAGCGCTTTTTTCCGATGATAAAAACTCCCAGGTACCCTTTGATTTTGTCATTTCGTACGGCGAGAAGCAAACCCTGGTCTCCTCTCCAGATCATCATTTCTTCATCTCTCCCCACTTCTATCTCGTTGGTTTTTGTGAAGGGTATTTATGTCTCGATTCCTCCTTTTTGAATTCTGTTCTTGCACCTGCCTAGGCTTATATGAAAATTGAATCCGTTTTCGGTTCTATTTCAATGTGATTTTTAGGGTTTTCGGATTCAGTGAGCGAAGAGCGTTTAAGAAAAGTCTTCTCCGAGTTTGGAAGTTAGCAATGGTGAGTCTCTCTATCTCTGACATTTTCAGCTTCCAATAGGATTCGTAAGCACGAGGAATCACCTTAGCTATTATTTGAGAAGCTGTGTTATCACCTTAGCAAAATTTAGTGTAAATTAATGGTGACATGCAAATTTCCTTATATATACAATATATTTTGATTGGTTCTTAACTATTATTTGAGAAGCACGTTTAATGAAAAAATCTAATGTGTCATCACCTTAGCAAAAGTTAGTGTAAATTAATGGTGTCATGGAAATATGACATGGAAAATTTCCTAAAATAAACAAAATATTATGAGTGGTTGAATTATAATTATATAAAATTATAAAATTATAATATAAATACAAAATATTATAATCTTAACTATTATTTGAGAAGTTGTGTCATCACCTTATAAAAATTTAGTGTAAATTAATGGTGACATGGCAAATTTCCTTAAATAAACAAAATATTTTAATTGGTTAAATTATAATTAAATAAATCATAAATTTATAACATAAATACACTATATTATAAAAAAAAAAAAATTTAAATTAGCAGAAAATAATATATACTATGATTTCAATTTGTTTTTAAATATACTAGATGGGTATCTGCGCGATGCGTGGATTTTTGTGTCAAAATATAATTTGTTAAAAAGTTTAGATATAATTTATTTTATTGTATACTTTTTTTTATGAACAATGATAATATTTTTTGGCTTTGATTTCTAGTCATCCTATTATTTTAACCTCATGATGCAACCTCTTTTCACTCTAGTTTACAAATATGTTATAATTACAGAAATATATTATTACATATTTTGACTATAATAAAAAAGAGTACTTATCAATTATTTCATATTTTATTATTTAATAAGAAATTTAATTTTTTAATAATAATATATTATATATGAATTTTCCCTAAAATATTGTGTTTTTGAATAAATATATAATACATATGTATATATTTTATTGATAATAACTATGTATGTGATATATGTTTTATCACCAGAAAATGTAGATTATGTTATACATTTATAAAATACATATAAATTTAATTAGCATGTAATTAAAAGATAAATAATTATTCTGATTGTATTAAAATAGTAGACTATTAATTATGAAATTTAAAATGACAGGTGTCACTCTCTCCAATGCTGATGTGGCACTCAACTGGAGAGAGTTGGTCATCTTTTATATTATAGATTTATAGTAAATTTATATTTTTATATAGAAAAATAATTATAGATTATCTAATAAGATAGTATATACGCCATATATTAATAATATTGGGAGTATGATATATTATTATTTTTATATAATTTTTTTAATATTTTTACTTTTTTCTGAGATTTGCGTAGTTTACATTTCCATCTTATTTTATTGCTTATCTTTTATTTAAATAAATTAAAAGCTTATATCATACTTATATACTGTCTCATTGTAGATCGAGAATTTGAGATTAGAAATAAAATGCAATATAACCGGATGAAAAAAAAGAAATTATAAGTAAGAAAAAACAAATATGAATAAGAAGTAGAAGTAAAAAATAAATCTCTACAGTTTTTTTCTCGTAACACTCAAATTTTATTTTATGGAGTCATTTAAAAATCTTAAGAAATAAATTTTATAATAAACGCATGAGTGGCTCAAATTTTATAATGAATACATGCGTGCAAACCAACCATAAGAAATATTTTTTTTTTATCAAACCAATTCCTCAATATTGGACAAAGAGATGAGCGGAGAGCTACTGAGAATTTTATAAAATATAATTTCACAAATTTTATAACAAATATTTATTATAAATTATATTGATATAAATAAACATATGAATAAGAAGTACAAGTAAAAGTAAAAAATGATCTTTACGACCTTAGATTTCTGTAAAAATCTCAGGCTATATCTTTGGTTTAAAGCATCTTTAACCCACCTTTATTTTAAATCTTCTAATTTAGTGGGAAAATAGCAATGTTATTTTTTTCTTCGATAATTCGAGGAAAAAATAACAATCTTTCTTTTTCCTTTAAAATAGAAATAGGTTGGAGAGAAATCCACCTATATTTTAGAAGAAAAAATAGAAAAAACCATCGGAGATGATCTTAATGTTTAATATATTATTCAAGGTTAAGAAAAAAAAATATGAGTCACAGAAGACAAAAAAAATAGAATAAGTTTTTATTTTGAAATATTTAAAAATATTATCTTACACATATTAATGCTTTCATGCATATATTGTTTTCAACATCTTTAAACAGTATTTCATGAATCGAGTTTTGTATATGCTATGATCCATTATATATATGGATAACACATATATCAATGTTATGAACAGACGAACTCTTATCTTTAATGTAATAATTAAATATTAAATATTAAATATATAATTTAACACTTTCAACCATACACATATAAGTTTAGGATCCGGCTGGTTTAAACGTTGCGGTTACAGAGAGCTTGTGGAAGCGAGCAATTGCAGGCTATAAACTCTTTGACGAAGAGATGAATGGAGAACTACCAGAGAATTTTATAAAATAATAATTCATAAATTTTATAATAAATTTTTATTATAATTTTTATTGAGAAACCATATATCATAGAACATTGAAAAAATAATTTTTTTTGATTAAATACAAAACAATAGAAACGGTTTTCATAATTGTTGTTAAACGCCAAAAAGTGTATCGTGTACAATCATAATGTTTGTGGAAAATATCAGAAAAACTAACCAACACCTAAATATTACAATTCACTTGTTTATAAGTCATATTTTGTTGTTTTCTTTTAACACATATAAAAAAAAACAATCTTACATTATAAAAATATGTATTACAAAATATATATTTTGTTGTTTTTTTTTAACACATAAAAGCTGTACTTTGATTTTTTTCACAAATATGCACAAACTTGTCGTGCATACATTTTCTTAACCTCAATTACAGTCCAATATTAATTTTAGTTATTAGTTAATTAGTATTTATTAAAAAAAATTCTATATGTCCTAAGAGCGATGAGGTGGTTGGTACACACGAATGTGCGGAAAAATTCATTTTGGTTTA